ACAACCATAATTAGAATCTGTGTTTTGGCCGATTCCACCAGTAAATTTCATTCCACTCAAAATATAATAATTCTCTTCTCACGATTTATTAATAATTGTTAATTTAAATTCCCATTAATTAAAATATAGTTTATTCAACTGCCTCTGGTCGGTTTAACAAATTCTTACATAAAATTCTGAAAATCACATCATCTGAAGTGATTTGGCAACGTTTGGCACACGCCCACAATTCGTTCCATCTTTCAACACAGACATTGACATCCTTCGGCCTTCTGTCAAAAGGGTGTCATCTCACTCATTATTCCGTGACCACTAATTTGTGCAATCATCAAGTGGCTTCACGATGTAATGCTCTAATGTTTTTTAAATAATTTTTAATCTGTTTTTAACTTGTTCTTGTCATATTTTATATAATTTTGACCATTGTACAATCTATCCAGCTCTCACCATGTTACTGGACGTTTCCCTCATCCTATACGTAAACAACAATTAGCAACATCCTCACATACTACTGTAAGTTGAGTCAATTTAAATTCATTTTACACTTTTGTTGCTACTGTTGTCATTGTAATTGCAGCTCCTGATGATGATGGCAAAGTCCATTGAAAGCTAGAGAGAATTAAAAAAAGTATAAAGAGTCCTCTTTGCTTAAATTTTGTGGAAGTACCCAACAAAAGGCGGAAGCTTTAATTTTTCACCTAACTGGTCTAGACGACAATGACCACGTCTCAAGTTATATATATATATATATTGTATAATCAGTAAGATGTTTTCCATATATACAGGGTGACTTCGAAGTTGAGTCATTTATTTTAACAGTGAGTAGATCTGATCAAAAGAAATGTTTTTTTTCCTTTACCATTTTTCTGGTAAAATTAAAGTAACAAAGTTATAGCCCTTTGGAAGTTTGAGTACCGCCCTGTCTCAATGATAATATTATGTGCTCGTGTTTGGCAACAACGGATATAATCCGCCATCGGTTCATCGCATCGGAATCAAAAAAGCGAAAGAATTTGGAACGATGTTTTTACATATTTTATTCAGTTGTGTTGTATACAGTCAGTGTCAGTCGGTAACGCGTCAGTGAATAGTGGTGTCTGTTGCGTGGCTCAAACGAAATAAAAAATGGCACATGTTTATGCGGATCGGTTTCCCAATCGAGTGCAACCAACCCCTCGTGCCTTTGTTTTTGTAGTACAACGGGCTCGTGAATCAGGTGACTTAAGACGGCATGCCGGTGCTCCAAGACCTCGCGATCAAATACAGGTCCGCACTGAAATACTTGTCGGGAGGATACTTTATAAAACAAGGTATTTTTTTTTATTTTTTTTTTATTTTTACACACATATTTTGGTTTATCTTCCTTCTACAATCATTATCTGAAAATTAATGACTCAACTTCAAAGTCACCCTGTATATACAGGGTGACTTCGAAGTTGAGTCATTTATTTTAACAGTGAGTAGATATGATCAAAAGAAATGTTTTTTTCCTTTACCATTTTTCTGGTAAAATTAAAGTAACAAAGTTATAGCCCTTTGGAAGTTTGAGTACCGCCCTGTCTCAATAATATCATGTACTCGTGTTTGGCAACAACGGATATAATCCACCTTATCGGTTCATCGCATCGGAAACAAAAAAGCGAAAGAATTTGGAACGATGTTTATTTTATTCAGTTCAGTTATACTCGTACATACAGTCGCGTGTGAATAGTGTCTGTTGCGTGGCTCAAACGAAATAAAAAATGGCACATGTTTATGCGGATCGGTTTCCCAATCGATTGCAACCAACCCCTCGTGCCTTTGTTAATGTAGTACAACGGGCTCGTGAATCAGGTGACTTCAGACCTCACGATCAAATACAGGTCCGCACTGAAATACTTGTCGGGAGGATACTTTATAAAACAAGGTAAAAATTTTTTTTTATATTTTTTTTATTTTTATACACATATTTTGGTTTTATCTTCCTTCTACAATCATTATCTGAAAATTAATGACTCAACTTCAAAGTCACCCTGTATATAAGGGATGTTCCATATTCTCCTTGAACGTAGGCCATGTAGAATTATTATATTCACGTAAAAAATCGTGATTACCACAGAGATGAAACTTTGCTTTGTGAACATGGCGGATATAACACAAGTTCCACCATTTTTGCAAGAATCGATATGCAACAAATTTAGCAAGAACTTTTATTTTCGGGTGGAAGCTACAGCAAAAACACCTATAAAATGATTTGTCTACTCTCTGCTACTTTTCTGACTACAGCCCGCTAGAAGTCATCTCCGTTCGAGTCACACGTCATCAAAAAACCACAGAATCGGGATAACCAAGAAACCGATGGCAACTCTGTAAGACTCTGTAATGATACCTACACGCACAGAAACATTCTGGGCGTAATGCAGGTGTATAATGCAAAGAATTACCTTAGCTATTTGTAACTTGTCAGTCTTCCTTTGACAAGGGATTAGTCTGCACTCTGCAGCCATAATGCGCTTCAGTACCTGAACTAGGCATGTCGTGGTTAGTAGTTGGAACTCGAGATATCCGAGATTGCTATAGCGTTTCATGACGAGGTAGGTGACTTTAACGACTCAAGAAGGAATTACCAGGTGGACGATGATGCAAAGGTAGTTTTTTTTTTTGTGGGAAAAGATTGTTCATGTGAAAGGATTCACTTTAGATTACAAGGAAGCTCGAATGTCGTCGAACTAATTTCAAATTCTGCCTTTAGAATTCACAGTATTTTGCTGAGCACAGTCGGATCTGATTTTTTAAGGATTATTCAAGACTTTTATGTGCAGCATGATGATGATGATGTTGATGATAATGATGATGTTGACGATGACGATGATGATGATGATGACAATTACAAATGATGTTCATGATATTTCAATCCTGTATTGCGAAAAGTTGATATCGTCCAGCAATTTATGAAAATTTCACTTTTCAGACACTGCTTGTATGAAACAGAAACGTTCCCAGAGTCGAGGCATTTACAAAATCTTGTTATTTGTATGTGCAGACTTCAGCTTATTATTCATCCTCGGCAAATCTTCGCCATTTCTCTGGCGATAAAGCCATAAAACCGTTGAAATTTCAAGGCTTCTCACGGCTACGGCGGCTTTATCTGTACTGCGGCGATTTTTGTCAAAATAAACAAAAGAACTGCTGAGGTCATCAGATTCATCTTCGCTCAACTGAGAGACACGTCGAGTATCTCTTGGCGGATTGTCGACGCCGACAATCAGTGACGGGGTGAAAGGGACGTCTACTGGAATATACTTTGGGATAAAAAAGCAGGAGAAATATTAAAGGATTTTAGATTCGTTATGGAATTTCTCAGAAAAGACCGAAAACGTTTTCACAAGTCAAATGCACTCACAATGAGGAAAAGTAGACCAAGTACTTACATGGAGCTGTTACTTGGTCATTATGATCCTCTGGATACAAGCAAGCTTCTGTCTCATTTTGATTTTTTTTTTTTGTAAAAATTGTAACATTTTCTTTTTGAGACTCCATTATCTGACCGAATCAAAACCACTTATAGATATTTAGATTTCTGTTTCTTATACGAAGTTTCGACCACAACTGTGGTCCTTTGACAATTGACAATTATATGACAACATATTTTGTTTTCTGTCTTCCAGGTGACATTTCGATTCCTTTTTCCTTCATTCCTATTCAGTTTGTGACTACAATAGTCTGGGCGGTCTTGTAACATACTGAGATTGCGCGAAGCCATCATTGCAATTTCAAGATGGCACCGCGTAAGATCAGCAAAGCCCAGGACCTTCGGAAGTACGCATTCCTGCTCCCAAATGGACGTGCAATGCAACAAGCGAGCATGGGGTTATATATGTCGTTTGATGTACCTGACACGTCACCGTAGTCCGTTCCAAAAGCGCCACAAGACATCTGAAAACACGAAAACGCAGCCAGAACTATTGTCGCAACACACCCGTTAATTGTAATCTTTGGCTATGAATGCTGCATATGCAGTGTTTATGGATCTTCAATGCGAGAAATACTGCTTGGACACCTAAAGAGAACCATGTTGTTTTTCTTGTGATGAAATACTGTTAAACATACCAGTTTTTATTGCTGCAGTAAATGAATAAATGTAATGTGTTTTTCATACGTGTATAGAGAAAGCTTTTCGGATGTCTCCAGTTTAGAATTGAAGACCTACGTGAGACCCAGTGGGGTCATAAATATGTAGCAAACATACTCGTAGTGTTGGACCTATGTATAACCTATTGCAGCATCTGCAAATCCTGGCTGGGAGACCATCGAGCGAAAATATGCTTTAGTTACCCCATTTTCTGATTCTCAATATAAGTAGCAGGGTGATAGGGAACCGAGTCAAGGAATGGGCAAGGAATATTGACACTTAGTGATTGGATGCAAGCGTAAAAAAACTACGGACCTGCTTTTAAAGAGCAGAAACCAACCCCGTGTAGTTACAGGGCTTCTAACAGGACACAGTGATCTGACAGAACACCTGCACATATAGCGCTCCATTACAGAGACCCAGATTGCAGATAATGTGGAGTACTCTTTGGAAAACCAAAATTAGAACCGAGAGAGTTCAGAACAGTACTGGCGGCGAAACTGTTATGGAAGGCCACAATGCTGTATTGGGTTTTGTAAATTTCGAGGAGCAAGGAACAATATGTCTAAAGGCTGCAGTGCCATCGGGGACTTTGGTCGGACGGCTTCCAGAAAGAAAAAACAGGGAGACACCCTAAATGTTATACTGGTAGACAGGTTACTTGACTGCATCTGAAAAAGCAACGTGTGTCCTCCGTCATCTGGACCAGTTTCTCCTCCTCCTCCTCCACCTTAAAGCTTATTTATCATTTTCCATTTTGTTGTCCAAGAGTGGGAGCCGTCGTCTCCTTAGAGGATTATCCCATAGAAATTACAGCCGAGGCGTCTGCCTTTGTGTTCCGCCTTGTGCTCTCACTGTTTGGGTACGTGTTCTAATAAACAGAGGCGGAATGGAGGAAGAAAGGATGGATGGGAAACGTGTTTATAACCAGGGACTGCCGAGATTGCTACCACCAGTGCCGTCAACAGATACTGACAGTATACGGATGTTGTACAGTTTCGTGGTTGATAGCGTATTGTTGCTCATTTTAAAAAAATCTGACATACGGATTAGCCAAGTCAACATATGGCTAGAAAGAAATGGCTTGAAGCTGGCCCCTAAAAAATGAGGTGGTAATACTTTCTGGTTGATAGAAGTTGGCCTCACTGTCAGTAAATGTTGGCAGTGCTGAAATATAAAGTCAGCGTACGATTAACACGTTAAAGGCCATGGCGGTCCCACGGGACCGCTTGACAAGGCTCGTATCACGCCACGGCGGTCCGTATGGACCGCTTTGTTTTCAATTTATTTCCGCGATGACTCCAGCCAGAGGTTCATATATAAACTTATTTTAGCGTTAGGTATGGACCGCTGTGGCTTGTATGGATTATACCCATATGACAACTTTTTGGAGTATTTTTTTTAGGGTTATTCAATTTTTCTTTATACACATCATTTATTTCCTACTAAACCTACACAACAACTTTGACAAAAACAAACAAGATTCCAGTGAAAATGCATATATATATATATATAAAAATAAGTTATGATATACTGATACAACATATAAGATAATTTCGTGAAACTGGTGTCGTTGGAATTTCTTCCTAACGTTTCGCTAGCACGAGTGGCAAGCTTCGTCAGAGGTCCTTCCATTTCCGATGCTGGATGTAGACAGACGATTTCTCTTGCGCAGGTTGTATTTATACCGAAGGGTAGGTGACGTGACTTGTTCCGCTTCGGTTGACTTCGGGATGTCGATCGGCACTGCTTGGGCGTTTCTGAGGATTGGGTGCCAGTTCGGGTTGAGTCCGAGGGTCTCTTTCTTCCTGTTGAAGTTATCTGGATGTTTGTGAATCTCGATGCTTCCCTGACCAGTCTATTGTGATAGCCGTTGACTGATGACAGCAACTTGCAGCTCCCAAAGTGTATCCTGTGGTCCCCATTGCTTAGTGCATGTTCAGCTACCCCAGACTTCTCAGTTTGTCCTAGCCGGCAATTTGCTTTATGCTCCTTGAGTCTCGTTCTCATTGATCTTTTCGTGGTTTCATTGTATACTTTGCCGCATGAACACGGTATGCGGTAGACTCCTGCAGCTGAGAGTGGGTCCTTGTCCTTTGCCGATCTGATGGTTCGTTGGATCTTCTTCGTAGGCTTGAAAATTGTTTTAATGTCATATCGTCATATCTCTGCAGGACTCTGCCAATCCTGTCCGTAACTCTTGGCACAAATTTAAGATACGCTTGAGAGGTGGTGGGACGCTGTTCGGTCTCACGTGGCCCATTGATCTTTCGATGTCCCTATTGCTGTAGCCATTTGCTTCGAACGCAGTTTTCTGGAGTTCAAGTTCTGTCTGGAGGTTCTCCGGTTCGCAAATCTTTCGAGCTCATTCTGTCAAGGTTCTGATGACTCCATACTTCTGATTTGGGTGACGATTGGACAAAGCGTGCAGGTATCTGTCTGTGTGCGTTGGTTTTCTGTACACTGTGTGACCCAGCTCGTTGCCTCGCTTCCTGACTAGGTATTGTATGCTTGGATGCCGATCGTTCACTTGCTGCAGAAACTCGTTTAGAAGACACCAAGAAGAGCGTTACGAGGACGGAAGCAGTTCCACCAAGGCTCTACGGCCTGCCCAAGATCCATAAGGCAGATGTTCCGTTGAGACCAATAGTCAGTGCTCCCGAATCGCCGACGTACTACTTAGCGAAATTTGCTTGGCGTTCAACATGTTAAATACCTGGACAAAGATGCAAAGATGACTGAGCACATAAAGCAAACAGGCTTGTTTAATTCGGCTGATCCAACTGAAGTTGGGCCGGTCATGTTGTATGGGGCTCCAATCTGTGAAAAGTCATTGAAAAACAATAACTATAGGCAACTGATTCTCAGGTACCAGCAGAAGGCGGACTGCGCGTGATCTGCGCCTATAGAACGTTGTCGATGGAGGCGCTGCAGGTGGTGGTTGGATTCCCACCAATTAGGCTCTGGATTGGCAGGGGAGCTATGCATACATGTTTCTATACTGCACGGTTCATTATGTGACATTGATTATTGTTGTGACGAGGTGGATACTCTAGAGCATCTACTTGATTGCCGTAGATCGGTACACACAAAAAAGAGTGCTCTTTGTCTAAGGGCACGAGTTTCTATGAAATTATGACATTGATTTGAGATCACAGCTACTTGAAATGGGATAATTTCATTGTTTCAAAGAAACATAGCTATTACCATTAAGAAATGGTCCGTACTACAAAGAAATATGTCTTAGAAACATATCGAAGTCACGATCCTCAATTCAAGATAGTTACACTTGAACCAAGAGCACTCTTTTTTGTGTGTAGAAGGGTTGACTACTAGAGACAACTGGCAGTGACGTTCGGTGAGAAGGTCACTGCTGACAACTTTGCCAAGCATGTGGAAGAGACCAAATGGGTTAAAATTCAATCACTGGTGATTCGGGTGCTGATGTGGACGGTATGTGATGGAAAAAACAGAGAGAGAAACCAACAATAGCTTTTCCTTGCTGCTGTATTTTGGAGAATCTCACACTTCGAAGAGGAAAGGCTGACAGAAGCCATCTGTCGAGCGCATTCCTACCCAAGAGAAATAGTTAACGATTTTGGAGATTTTTATTCCTCTGCCTGGCAATGCCATCGTCATTGGACTTGCAAACCTTGGATGATAATAACAGTAAATGGTCAGACCTGATTTGGCTATTACCAAATTAAAATTTTCTCTTTGATAGTTTGGTGATATTTTCATTACGCCAGACATTTGAAGCTAGTCCATTCCATGGATAGAACTTTAGGTGCGTATAAACGAATTATATAAAAAATGGCGTCAAGTAGGTTGACTCTGCACTTCCCACGCAACGCAAGAATTATGTTCAGCACAAACTAGACTCTCCGAAAAAAAAATGACCGTCAAACAGGTCCAGACAAGTAGTCCATAGACATTCTTTCCCTGCCGTACCGGGAGTGTATCTGGCAATGTCGCCTTAACCCAGTCAGATGTGGCAGCGCGGTCAGAGCATAGCGTGTTCCACAATATCAGAACAACAGAACTCACCAAGGCAGGCGGCATGCCGCCGCGGCCTTTAGGTACGCGATCCGATTGCTGAGAATATTTTTCTAAGTTTTAAGGGCTAATGTACGGAAAAATATGTGATGTGCGAAATATGTCTAAAAGGTAGATATAGATGTAGAATTACCAAGGTTGGTAGCGTATAAACGTACAACATCAAAAAATTGAGACAAACCCTCCCCACCCCTAATAACCCCCACCCCTAAGTTTTTTTCTAGCAACAATTTTTTCTCAAATGACCAGGATCATCGGAAACGTCAAAAAACGAAGTTTGAACGATATTTCTGTTTTTGACCTTTTTACTGCCGTCACTGGAGCGATTTTCAAAAACTACAAAGCTTTTGCGTCCTTGGCATAGTAGTAACGTTGTATAAAAATGTCATCGATATCCGAGCGGTTATATAAGAGTAGCGGACAGACAGACAGACCGACGGAAATGAGTGACATGGTTTTTCATGATGTACATCCAAAAAGCATAATATCTTATTTTTGTGCTCACAATATTTCCTCGCCAATAGGCGTGGTAAGTACAACTCTGGTATCAAATTCCTTCGAAATCCTCTCTTTTCACACCAGTCGATTTTAGTTGAAAAGATCGCTTTCTAAAACAAACGATCCGTCTGTGAACTCAACATGTTTGTGACAGTTAGTGATAATGTCGAAGTGTGAGTAATAGATTTTGCATGGACTACTAAGTACACTGAAGTGTGAATAGATAAAAATTGATTCCACATTGAACTTCTAGTCATTAAAGAATCGCCATCGAAATATGGCCCATTTAACTAATAACAATATTCCCACATTTTGTGCCTTAATATTTTTTTCATTATTCATGATGTCCCTGGCGGGTCTATCTCAGTACGCGGAATAAGCATCACACAGCTCCAGAGTGCGATTCGCTTCCGGATTCCGGGTTGTTGTTTCCGTTAAGGAAATAAATTTCTCTGAGGACTTGCTGACCCTACGGCACAACCTTGTTTTCCCTTCCGAATATTAAAGGAATATTTTTTGAGTGTGAAATACGGGATGTTGTTTCTTGCAAAAAAAGGTCTATCAAAAATAGAATCTTGAGAATAAGAATATATTTTCGCCACTGTCATTGAAACCCCAAGTACTTCTCACATAGAATACGCGAATTTTCTTGGATCATCAGTGGCTACTAAATAAATACTCGGCTAGGAAAATGCAAAGTTGAAATGAAGAGACTAAAAACATTGACAAATATTGACGTTTGCTGGCCGTACTAGCAGATGCTTTTAATGTATTTACTTGTTCAGTTCCACAATGACTGATAATAAGAAAAATCAATAAGAGAGAAAGGGACGTTTTAGATCTTTAAATTTGAATAATAATCCACCGGATAATGAGTAAACAGTTTTAATGCTTAAGATGTGTTTAAAATATATCATAATTTCTTAAAAATATCCGATTATATATTGAAGTGGTACTCACGCTTTTATATTTCATATGAGAATGGTGTCAATTATTTTATAGAACGCGTTCATGGAAATAATTAAAATACTTCAGCCTCGATTTTAGTTTGGAATCTTAATACAAGTTCACAGTTTGTTAAAAATTAAAATCTTCATTATAAAGCTAATGGAAAACAATACAAATAATTGTTACCGGACTTTCTCTTAGGCCCGATTTTACTAACAGCAGATCAAAGTTCTTGATCCGGATCAAAATGGACCGATGAGAAGGCATTTTTCTAATAATGGATCTAATGATATCTCTGGAACTAGCGAAAAATATGCTACTTGTGCAAGAAGTCCAATCCCTTATTAAATCAAGAAGTTCTTTATAAATCACCTGGCTTAACTACAAATATGTATTTTTTCAGTTGATCCGGAGATCAAAACCTATGATCCGAAGATCAAAGCCTATGATCCGGATCATTAATGACCAATTAGAAAGCATGTTCGTTAAACTGCGTGTGCG